CCTTTCTCCTGCTCTTCTGGCCTGCTTCTTTGGGCATCCTTGAGTTTCCCCTCCTCACCTAATCCCTTCGGCTGATTGCTCTTCTCTTTGGCTTCCTGGGTTTTATCCCCTTTCTCCTGCTCTTCTGGCTATTTCTCTTAGTATTTAGTATAAAAGTATGATGAACAAAACAGTAAAACCAGAAAAGAAAAAGAATGAGCAGGGGTCAAGGATAAAAGAGGAATAACAATAATTAAGGAAATGAAACACGATAGGCCGAGGTTCCAACTTTGAGGCAGAAAGTAGTTGAAGAATTATATAGTGATAAGTAATTATAGAGTCACAGGAAAAGATAGATACAGAAAGAGACATACATAAATACTGAAGGCCTGTAACAAATGTATAATTATCAGCTTTATGAGGTGAATTGCTACAGGCAGAAATAAGGACTGTCAAATATTAGTTAGCACTCAAGAATATACTGCAGGAAAAAATTAGGCATTAGCCAGAGACTAGACAAAATGATCTAACTGGTTCTCCTTTTCCTAACCTGAATTCAGCCAGCAAGTTATGTCTCAGGATGATTTATGCCTCTACTGCATCTGGCAGAGATGACTGTTATTCAGCTCTTAATTCTTAGCTACTGAGATGCAGACAAGAGATTAAGCAATGAGAGCTGAAAACTACTTACTGGAAAGGAAGTGCTGGGAGGCTGGGCCAAAGTCCCTGTGGGCTTCATGCAGCTGCCTGATGCGGTCCTCAGTGGCCACCTGGGAGGACAAAGAGAAAAAATGATGTTCTCTCATCATACATAATTAGGAGCATTAAAACAATGTATCCTTTTTGGTAAGATCTTTTGGGTGTCTAAGGCTGAGAACACTACAGTGACAATTTATGACCCCAGTTTTAATATCTGCTTACCGTATGTGGCTCCGGACTCATTTTTATCAAACCAAGGCCAAACAAAAAGGATATCCTCTCTTGTCAGTGTGAAAATGAGATTGTTACATCCAACTCATTGAAAGTAAGAAATGAACTTCTGCCCCAAGTGGTGGTGTTGTTATTTGACATTGAGTCGGACCTGACTCATGGCGACCCCTCCTTGGTTTCCGAGGCGGTATCACTACGGAAGTAGATTGCCCAACCTTCCTTCCAAGGAGTGGGTGGTGGGTTTGAACCGCCAGCCTCCTGGTTAGCAGTCAGGTACCTTAGGCACTATGCTACCAGAGCTTCTGCCCCAAGTAGAACCTATCCAACAAATGCAAAATCTCACAAAAAGTTTAGGGAGATTGCCTTCGGTATTATACTAGGTGATTAAAAGATCTCAGAAACGGTGTATATTTTGTCCTTTACTCAGTCAATCGCTTTTTAGTAAATTTTCTGGCATTAGTATTGATTGGTAATTGGTGAGTGATAATTAATTACTAATGACTGCAAAATAGCCAATACTTGATTAATTATCAAAGAAGCAGAGGCAAAGGCTTAAATCTGGGATAATATAGAATGGTTGGTGAGCTGTAGGAAATTTTTATACTTCAGTTTTCAGTGGACTTGGAAATCACTGGGAAATATACCTTTAGGTGGCATGGAATAAAAATCGCCCTTCTTTTTGTTCTTATTAGGTTTTTCTATGATCTATTGACATAGTATCATGTCAGCTTAGTGAATTGCATTCTGGGTGGAAAAAACAGGAAGAAATTTATGAGTAAAATGGTATGCTTTGTCATCTAATATTTTGCTTGATATTAGTGGCAGCCCTAGGCATCATAACTCTGTAACCCCAGATCTTGATTTGGTTTTGAACAGCCTATTTCAGACCAGGGTTGATCACAGCTTGCACAGAGCTACCATAGCTCCAGGGGTGTTAGTTCCTGTGATGTGGAGAATTCTCAAGTGGTCAAACAGATTAGAAAAGTGGCTCAGGTAGTCTGGTTGACAGCCAACTTTGACCTTGCAACAGCAATCAACTACCCAGCGTAAATCCAGAGCAATCTTCTTTTTTTTCACTCACTCCCTAGCCCTGACCTTATTTACTTGGACCATATATTTGGTTAATCAAGTGGGGTTCCAAAAATGCAGGATTTGCTTCACTGTTACTTACACAAAAGTGTGAAGAACATCTCAAATCTAACAATCCAGCCTCATGACCCTAAACTCCTGCTGAGCCCCACTGAACTCCCGGCTTATCATGAGATATTCTGTTCCATCCATTTTTGTGTGCTTTGTTCTGTTGCTCCTTCCCTCGTCGCATACTCTTTTCTCTTCCAGTTCAAGTTTTAGATAAATGTTTATTTGCTTACTTTCCAAACCCCAGGTTAAAACTGCAGTGAAACCTGTGAGAGCCGGAACTCGATGGGATGGCCTCATTTTTCTGGGTCTCACAAGATTTCCACCTTTGACAGGGTGCAGTCTTACCACTTTTCTCTCACTCTCTATTAGTGTGAAATATTTGAGTTTTCCTTCTCTGACAAGTTTCCACCTTAAACAGTTTCCTGCTTTTGCAGGTTTTACTGGAATTGCTTTCTTGGTATCCCCATAGTACATGGTTTATACTTGTATCTACTATAACTATGTGGACATGAATATCTCCAGCAACTGATAGTAAACCTCATTAATGGCAGGGACCATCCTTGCTTACCTCTGCCACCATCTTGCAGAATGTGCTGAATGTTTCACATAGAAAGTGGTAGCAGGTATCTCTTCAATGAGTAGTCAACCAAACCAATAGATAAATGACCAAGTGAGGGAGGGAAACAAACAAGACTATCCACTGGCACTGACTGCACATCGTGGGTAAGTCATTCTAAATTTACATTTCCTTATCAGTAATATGTTAATAATGATAAGACCTACCTCATAGAATTTTTGTGGGAATTAAATAAGATGATGGAAGTAAAGTGTTTAGTCTAGTTTCTGTCATATGGTAATGGCTTGATAAATGTTAGCAGCTACTGTGATTGTTTTCTATTAGAGTTAACAGAGAGAAATAGGTACAAGGTACCACATCCAATAAAAAGAGTAATGTTTATTAAGCGCTATGCAGGTGACAGCAAATCTGCTGCAAAAGACCTCTTTAAAGTGCTGAAGAGCAAAAATGTCTCTTTGAAGACTAAGGTGCACCTAATCCAAGCCATGGTGTTTTCTATTGGCTCATATACATGTGAAAGCTGGACAATGAATAAAGAAGACAAAAGAAGAGTTGATGCTTTTGAGTTGTGGTGCTGGTGAAGAATACTGAAAGTACCATGGACTGCGAAAAGAACTAACAAGTCTGCCCTGGACGAAGTGCAGCTGGAATGCTCCTTGGAGGCGAGAATGGCCAGACTTCGTCTCACCTACTTTGGTCATGTTGTCAGAAGGGACCATTCCCTGGAGAAGGATATCATGCTTGGTAAAATGGAGGGTCAATGAACAAGGGGAAGGCCCTCAACAAGATGGATTGACACAGTGACTGCAATGATGGTGTCAGGTATAGCAAGGATTGTGAGGCTGGTGAGGGACTGGGCAGTGTTTCCTTCTGTTGTACATGAGGTCGCTATGAGTCAGAGATGACTCGATGGCACCTAACAATAGCAACATGCATGTGACAACATGAATTATTTTACTTAATTCTCATAATAATTATGTTGTAGGAATTATTATCAACCTCTACTTTATTGATATAGAAACTGAGTGATGGAAATGGTTACTGTTTGGCTGTTAACCAAAAGGCTGGAGGTTTGAGTATGCCCAGAGGCACCTCAGAAGAAAGACTTGGCAGTCTACTTCTAGGAAAATCAATCACTGGAAACCCTATGGAGTCACAGTTCTACTCTGATACCCATGGGGTCACCATGAGTCAAAGTTGACTCAATAGCAACTCGTTTAATTATTTGTTCACGTTCTAAGTATTTGATACTTGTAACTAAGTCAATATTGAGAGAGATACATAAGAAACTAATGTCATAGCTGCTGGTCTTGAGAAGCATTATGGGTTGAAGGTGAGCAGTAAAGACAAGCCAAGGAAAGGCCTAGGGCAACAGAACATTGATGGTGGGGAGAGCAATGAGATGCATTTAGCTAGGAACATTAGAAACAGATGATGCAAAGCAAGGCATCCCAGACTGTGAGACTCAAGATTTACCCTGTAGACCAAGGGACCACTAAAGACTTCTGTGAGTGACTCAGTATTTTAGAGGAAAGTTATGTTTTAGGAAGATTAGTCTGTCAGTGTGGCGTAAACCAGATTCAAAAGGGGCCCTGAGGCTGAAACCAGTTAGAGGCTGTTACAATTGACTAGAGTTGGGGTGATATGTGTTGGAATTAAGACAGTGTTGCCTGGAATGAAAAAGTAGGTACAGATAAAAAGATATTTTGAAAGAAGGAAGAATTAATCAATTTTGGCATTGGAGCTTATGTTTTGAATAAATAAATACAACTCCTAGATTTTAAGTGTGGAGGACTGAGAGAAAGAGGATATTGTTGCTGGATATATGGAAATTAAAAAAGGGAGGAGTGGTGTATATGTGTATGAATTCATTGTGAACACCATGTGTTTGACCTAACAGTGGAACTTTTGACTTGAGACACCATGTGTAGGCAGTTAGAGATGAGCAATTTGTTATGGTCATTCTAAGAAGGAAATGAAAGTGAGACTAAAGGGGGAAGTTTGAGCTTTGGAAACGGGATGAGAAAGAAGAGGCAATGAAGTTAAAATAGAGTTATTTAAAGAGACAGGAGGAAGGAACTCAATTTCCTCTGAATTAATAGACTATACCTCTGTTTCCTTTGATTAAGAGTAATAGAAGAATAACATCTTTTTTGGAAGTATACCTCCTGTTTTTACTATTAAATCATAGATCACAAAAGCTTAGAACTGGAAGAAATCTTATCTATTGATATACGAGGGTCTATTTTTTAGAGCTATCCCAGATGGGTAGAAAACTGCCATCTGGTCCATGAGTACTCATAATCTAATTTGCAGCAATTCTACAGTAAAAGAATGTCAAGGAGTGGAATAAAAAAAGATCTTTT